GATGAGAATAACTTTTGGGAAAAAATTCGGAATTAAATTTAATATAAACCCACATCTCAATGTGGGAAGACTTAAATATCAGTCCCTAATTAGATAGTAGATATGAGACTAAGATGGCGTGGCCCTTTGCTTGATTGCAATCTCTTTTACATGTATGATACCGGTCCAACCTCGTTTTCGTAACTTGGTAGGAGCGACGTACCTAGGCCTTCGTCTTCTGCCAGAGTATTCATGATGATTTCCAGTATATGGCCGTTGATTTAGTACATTCAGAAACGTTTCGCTGACATCGAAATCAGTGATAGGCGCTATCCTTGGCACAGAGTTATATCTTATCAAAACGACAACTGATAAGTTTTAACTCTACGTCAAGGATGACGCCTCACACTGACTACGATGTTGGCGAAGCGTCTGGGAACGTACCCAGTCCACAGTCCGATGTTGGGAATCATCATGAGTACTCTTACAGAAGACGCAGGACTCAATGCATTCCACAATGTCTTCCTCTAGCTCGAGTAAATTTGCAAAAATTAGATCGAACCAATACTATCTATCAATCCTTAGAGTCAATTTAAGCAACCTACATTCTTATTCGAGAATGACTGAGTCTTGAAAACGGCCTACATCGCAAATAAGAGGCTATAATGGCCAGACAGCCGGGAATGAAGAGGGTAACAGTACCTCAGAGGCATAAAAGAAAATGTCCCCTTAACTCGGTGGCCATTATGTCTATTTCTATAGGGGAGGTGGGTCTTGCGTCACTTGGCCCACAACTCCTGGCAACGGATTGTCTTCGCCTACAGGTTCCTCTTGTAGGGTACGAGAGAGGAGGGTTGAATAAATAGAACCTGATCGTCTCCAGAGGAAGCCACTTTCTATGTTGTCTCTAAGCCTCGTCTTCATGCAGAGACTGACTTGCTCGAATTCCGATCTGACCTGGCCTCACAGGCATCCTGTTCGGCATAACCGCTCCTTGTTTCTTCTGTATAGCCAGGTTGTATGAAAGAAAAAAGGTTTATTTGGCAATAATGCGCGTTAGTAGATGAAAATGTGTCTGTATCTGTGTTTGTGTGTGTGTGTGTGCACAAATGTGTGCCTACATTGAGCCTCATCTATAATAGCGACCCTATGCCGTACTGGCAGATGCGGCCCTCTTAGCCTCCGGGCTCCCGTCCTACGGCCGGCTGCCCTATCCGGAAAAGTGAGATTTGTTGAAAGTCTACAGCGGGCAAATTTGAGACAAAGCAGATTCACTTTTTAGATGGCCTCTATGACGAACAGATAAAATCTTTATTTTCCCACGGGAACTGCGTAGACCATCCGCCCGATACAGTGCGTTTCTGCCTCTTTTTTGTTGGGCCTGCCCGACGCACACCCAGCCACACCAGTCGGGATGGTGAGAGGTTAGCACGTGAGTCAACTAAGGCAGAAGGAAGAAGACGCTTGGCCGAGGAGGACAGAGACGTCACGACGACCAGTCAGAACGGGGTAAGACCAACCAGACCTGCTCTCGACCGGGCACAGGTAGAGTGACAAAGAGACCAGAGACACTGTCTCCTCCACACATCAAGTGTGCACGCATGTGTGCATGTGTGTGTTGGTTATATGAATGTTATGCGAGTGTGAATTGTATGATTTTTGTGTGAGTGTTGTGCAAGTGTGTGTGGCTGACAGTGTTATGTTGTTGTGTGTGAGCAGAGCCAGTTGGGACAAGCGTCACCAACACGATTACCGTGTGCAGTGGAGTCAGCAAGTTGGCAACCATCACGCAATCACCCGGACACGATTGTCGTCCTCATACTGCTTTGTCTATCCAGAATCATTTTCGGCCACATGCAGAGTCGGTCAGGCCACTGTCGGACCATGCTTCCTCTTTCTTTTTCTCTCATTTATTCTTTTACCCCTTCCTAGTTATCATCAGCTTCCTCATTACGATCTTCTTAATCTCCACCCCAATCCCGTCTCCCATTTCTTCCCCAGCTGACCATCATCTTCATGCCCATACGTTTTCCAGTAACATCGTAAGAAGTTTCAGGCTCCAGGCTGAGCTTACCACAGAAATGGTGGTCACTTGACTGGACCAGATCTAACCAAGAGGCTACATGTCAAGCCAGAATCTCTGAAACCTCTCGATCAGAGACCTCGTAAGCCAAACCGAATATGAAGTGTTCCATCAAACCCTCGAGTCGAAGGACTCCAGTCGCCAATCCAGCGATGGCATATGTCTCGCCCTCATTCACTCAGCTTCACAAGTCTTTTTAGCCCGTCCTGTACACAAGATTGGCAGACGCTGGAACGAACAATCACGATCACCATCCCAATCGCCTAAATGCCCAGTCAGAAGTTCAGATGAAATAAAGCCACAGCCGACTAAAACGCGAAAGACCTACATGCATAGATGTCCTCACAACAGTTAGTCGTCCCTTTCCTCATTTGTGCCTATGCATTTTGGTAGGCTGTCGTGGCGATTGGCGCGTGACCAATGGCAAAACAACCACAACCCCTTGGCTGATGGGTTTGGGCCTCTGTACTGAGGCAGTGAGAGTCTGCAACAGGCCTCCCGAAAAACCGGTTCTCCCATACGCAGGAGACAAGGACTGGTCTCTGCAGGGTGGGGCAGAAGCAAATTAGGAGTCAGGTGTGTGTGTCGGAGGGGTAGTAGAGCGTGTGGTAAAATGTGCCCAACGGCGGCTGTTTATTGCCTATTTTGATATTCCATGACATGATGACTTGGAGGAAGCTTCCTCGGCCTCCAACTGTGCGTTGACGGAAACGTCAGCACTACTGCCGTCAGGACACTGGGCAACATCGACTCTTTGTGCGCCACATAGCGGGGCCGATCATACAAGGCCTCGGGCGCATTTTCCCATTTCACGCTACCAACGGCATGTGCACGCTCGCCCGCTCCTGCCCACCAGCATTAGTCGCTCAGGAGCTGTCATCAGAGCCGGGAAAGTGGGAATTTGGCCGATTCACAGGTTATGGCTTGGAGACTATCAATGACGGAGGCTAATGACATTTTTTGCCCAACACCATAAAGTTTACTCCCACTGCGATGAGAAGAAGAGGCCGTCGTTTTGCAGAGTCCCAGAGGAAGGCATCAAGTTGATTAAGCCCCCCCTCCCTCCCCAGTTGCCTCCACGACCAGTATTCGGCGTCTATGTGGGTGGGTGGGGTCATTCACTTGACGGAACCAAAGAAATGCCTGCGCCCATGATGGAAGTACACCTGCATCTGAGGCGTAAAGTGCATGAGAGTACATATGGCCGGTAGAAAAATTGCCCCCCTTAGTTGAAGTGCCGCATGGGCAAGTCGACGTCTCATGCCCCACACGAGGCCGCATTCCCACCCTCTAAGGCCTTTGCCCCAGTGGGGCTATGGAGGTACAGTCGCTCTGATGACTTCAAGGTGGCCAAGGTTTTGGGAACCAAAGCCCGCGCTGGTTGGTGCCACCGCCAGTCGGGAGGGGAAGACACTGGCAAAGCTCACACTTTGCGAGGATATCCACACCGGCAATGACGGATCAGCAGAAGGTAGCAACGGTCCAGTAGATCAGCTGTATGTCGGGAACTGACGTGGATGTTCTAGGGCACGATGCGCCCATGAACTGTGCCAAGGTATGAGTATGTGTCGTACCAACCTGGCAGGACTAAGTCCCTGTAAAAGCAGTTCTGATAACTTTGACGATTACTCACACCGAATACACACAATGTCTTCTTGTTTGATGCCAATTCCAACTTTCCACTAAAACTGCGAGTTTGGAAAGGCATTGAAAGTCATTTCTGTCCTGTAAACCGCCGGCCATCTTGGCAGTGGGACGGAATGGTGGCACGCCAACAAGGTTACCAATAGCTGGTCTAGAATCCTAGTATGGGTGCTTAAACGAAGTAGGGTGAATACAATTGATAGATAAATGATCTACTGGTCGTCTCTGAATCCTAATTATAAAGGTAAAATTCGAAATAATTGGACATAATCGACGCAAAGAAGGTCGAAACTGCAGTTTAACGTTCAAGATACAACCTTGTATGAGGCAAATCTAGGCGAAATTAGATCTTATCATAGAGGCTATTCAAGTCGGCATTGGAAAAAATTCTCTAAAAGTCGTCAAATGGCCTGAGGCCACGTTAAATGGTCCAATTATATTGAATTTTACCTTTATAAGTAGGATTCCGAGACGACCAGTAGATCATTTATCTATCAATTGCATTCACCCTACTTCATTTAAGGTGATAAGGGGACTGATAGTTGAATTTCTCACCCCCCCTGATGAGTAGACCTTACATTTTCATTAAAATTCCCATCTTGTTGATAAGACTTAGGCAAAGTCGAAACTGCAGTCCATTCCGGAAGAGAATAACTTCTGGGAAAGTAAGGCTATGCGAAATTCATTGGAAACGCAAAGCCTACTTATATAATTGTGGGAGAAATTAAACTACCATTATCACTTTTAATGAAATAAAGTGAATACATTCCATAAAGTAATGTTAACAGTTCTGAACCTTGTTCAGACTCCATCTTAACTTGATTACCAATAATTGGGACTCCAATGAACCCATCAGGCGGTTGGATGCTCTAGAATCAAATTTTAGAGGGCCAAATATGAGTTGAGGAGGTGATATGAAGTGACTGACCTAAGGGCCGTTGAGTGGATCTACAGATGGCAGCATAGCAATTTAATTGTACATCTCAAATATGGAGCAATTGATGCCGGGGTCCACTCTAGTACAATCATCAGTAGAAAGTGAATACGAATTAGTGATCTTCTAATTCGCATACAAAGCTGTTGGTAGAGAACAGTTACTTCACAACAATGAGAAAATGATATGTAGAAGAACTGGGTTTCGAAGAGTTCCTTAGCGATACATTATGTGACTGCAGTTTCTACCTAGCATTGGCCTTGCCAGCACCCCCCAGCAAGAGTCGAACCATGGAAATAGAGCATGTAAGCTCGACATGTTAACTACTTCGCCATATCGCCACGAATGCCCTTCGGTCACAGGGCAGGTGTGAATTCCGAAAAAGGTTAAGCCTTTTCTATATCACATTCTTTTAGGGATTGTCGATGAATCAAACTTATATTAAATCAGATATATGAGATGTGTTCACCCTATTTCGTGCAAGGTGATGAAGGACAGGTAGTTGAATTTTCCCACAATGCTATGAGTAGAGCTGATGTTTCCATTGCATATTATGACATGACTTTTCATTTCGTAGGAAAAGTTGGTTGGAAAGAATTCGGGATATAGTCTAACCGGCAACCGAAGGAGGAGGGAAGACTGTTCAATTGTGCGAAGGCATTGTCCGCTCACCGTTCTGCGACCCCGATGAACCTGTGCTAAGCTCTCGTCTGTACCGTGGCAGACATCATAAGGGCAGAATCCATAGCTTACGGGATAGGGAAAAATATAGTAAACGAAGAGAAAAGTTGGCCGGCTGCGACCATTGTCGCTTTTTATGCACCTAACTTCGCGAGCTTAATGAGGCATCCCATGATTTGGTTGGCTACTCTCAAACTTGCTCTATAGGAAAATGGGTTGACCTCGTTTTCGCAACTTGGTCCATTTGTTTGGGAGACTCAGTTGGACTCATCTTGTCCAAAGTCCTCTGCTATGATAGTTATTATAATTCCCAGCATCAGACCGTGGACTTGGTACATTCTCAGATGTTTCGCCGGCCTCATCACTGAGTCTTGCTATTCTC